CCGCCGCCCTCGTCGTCGTAGGTAATGATGTTCTCGCGGACATCCTCCTCCTCCAGGACCATCAGCGCCTCCTGCTTCTGCCGCCGCAGGGCCACGAAGAGCACCGCGAGGGCTGCGGAGAGCAGAGGCGTGAGCCAGCGCGGGGCTGGGCAGACCGTGGCCAGCCGAGGCCTGGCATCTGGAGGGTTTGGCTTTGAATCCTGACTCCATCTTTTTACTTTATTTTAATTTTTTAATTATAACTGACTCACTCTTGACCTGCTGGTTGACCGTGGGAAGTTGCCTGACTTCTCTGAACCTTTTTGATCCTTAGTTTACACAGTGAAAATGACCGAAAACATTTCCTGCTTACGACTGTTGACAGGATAAATGAAATAGCACAAGGGATGCGCGCAGCACCACACCTGGCACAGAATAGGGTTCCAATAAAGTAACTTTTAGGCCCGTCAGCATGGACTGGCAGGTCAAGCACATAAAGTCAGAGCTCTTCTCCCAAACACAGCAGGTGGTGGGAAAATCCAGGTACAACGGGTCATTTGAGCCCTATGTCCAGGAACCTGGCTCTTCTCCATACCCCTGCAGGCCTTGATCCCACCACTACGTCCCACTGTGGCCTGACTCACCAAGCAGGGTGCCCACACAGGTGATGATGGCAAGCAGGGCACCAGTGCTGAGCCCAGTGGGTGAGAGCTGAGCTTCGGCCCGGCAGGATGCCACAGAGCCATCCGGTCGGCAGCGGCACACGCTGACAGTCACTGTGGCTGTGCTGCTCAGCGCTGGCTGCCCCCAGTCCCACAGTTCTATGGGAACCAGGTATGGGGCCTGGCGGGGCGGAGCAGGGCGGGAAGGCAGCAGGAGGCTGGCGGAGCCATCTGTGGGAAAGGAGAGGCTTTGGGCCACCTCCAAGGAGGCCCTCCTAGGGCTGGGCCAGTCCACGGGAAGGTTTACAGGGGGCACCCCTACCTTCTGGCTGCAGGGACGACCGGTGGGATGGGCTCAGGCAGGCTGGGGGTGGAGAGGAGAGGAGGAGGGGACAGGCACAGGCATGGTTGCAGGATGCTGCTCACCTCGGTTGTCTTGGACAGTAAAGTTGGCATCAGGGCCCAGAGGACTTTGAAGGGAGACTCGGCTACTGTTGCCAACTTCGTCTCTGTCCAGGGCCCGGATGACCTGAATCAGCTGGGGAGAAGCAGAAAAACCTTGAATAGAATGGGCCATGGAGGACGTTAATCCCAACCCACCTGCCTCAGCAGCTCACCTGGCCGGGGGCTGCAGAATCACATACAAAGGTGTCATAGGGCTCAGCCAGCTGAGGAGCATTGTCATTTTCATCCAGGGTCTGGATGGCCACTTGGACACGGGAGGCCTGTGCAGAGCTGTCTGAAGCCAGAACACCGACACATACACGCCACACAGGACACACAACACAGTTTTGATACCAGACACGTGATGCGTTGGCATGGGTGTCACACGCAGCACATAGCGTGTACACACAACATGTGAATAAGCATGTAATACGCAGACAGCAAACCATATGGCGAAGTGAATGAAACAACACCAAGTACATATGATATTCACGTAGTACCCGAGATATACACAAAATGCAGCACACATGCAGCAGGAGCAGTGGCCACGATGCCCACACACCAGAGCCCATGTGCAGGGACACGCAGCACAGAGGAAAGAGAACACGCGGGGTGAGTGTCGACAATACCGCACACTCACACATACACCCAATATGTGTTGAAAACAAATGCAACATATGTGAAGCAAGTGTTTGATACATGGCAAAAGCAGTGCCCCGTGCCCCACACCCCAGGCCCAGAGAATGCATTTTCATGCAGAGAGCCCATGCACAGCACCGGTGGGGTAGACACACACACACACACACACACACACACACACACAATCTCATCAGAGGTCTGGGAGGCTGTAGTGCAGCAATGAGTGTCACTCAGTGTTGACCTTGGGGAAGGAGGAACCTCATGGTCCACACCTTCGTGGGGCAGAGCCTGGGTACCACAGTCAGATGTGGCGCCCCTCTTCACCCATCCCCTTCAGTGGGCAGCTCCCCACCAGTACCCTGCCTTGCTCCTCACTGCCAGTGCCATCCAAAAGAACACGAAGTGTGTCCCTGTCTTCTCTCCTAGGCTGAGCCTCTCAACTGCTTTAGTCTTTTTCCTAGGTAGGGGGAGAGCCGGCTGGCCCTGATGGGAAGGGCTGAGGTTGCAGCCCAGGCAGGGGAGCCTGGCTCTAGGGTCTGTGATAACTTAGACACAGAACGGGGACAGGGTCCACTGCTCCACTGCAGCAAGGGCCCAGGGCTGCTGGCCAGTGTCAGGGTGGGTAGGAGCAGGCTTTGACAGGAGGGTGAGAAGACGGTAAGGGGAGATACACACACACACACGCACACATGATTATCTACACAGACATCTTTACAGCTGTAGACACACAGCACTGCCAGGTAGCACACCGTTGCATATAGAACAAGCCCAGACACACACAGTTCAACATGCAGGAAGGGCAGAATGGGGAAGAGTTAACAGCCTAGGCTGTGGACTGCCTGGGTCAGATGGCTCCAGCACTTTGTCGCTGTGTGACCTTGGGAAGTTACTTCACTTCTCGAGGCCTAAGTTTCCTCATTTAAAAATGGGAAAATATTCCTATCTCCCTCATAAAATTTTGGTGACAATTAAATGAGTTAATCTGTTATTGGTATGTAAAATAGTATTGATACACAATAAGGAATAAGGTGTCACTCTCTGTCTACAAACACCCACGTATACAACATAATACATACAAACAACTACTTGTACACATGTGTGCATTTCACACACGGAATCATACACATACCTGATCCTATTCCACATATACACATCCATACAGCTCTTCACTGACACGTGCACAGCCATGGCTTTGACACTCGTATGAAGACAGCAAGGGACACACATGGGGACAAACGGCTCTTCAAAGAAGGGCTTCCCTGTCTCCCAGGCGGGTGGCACTTGAAAGAGCCACACCATGAGAGCTGGTCCCACTCCCTGCTTTGGAGGGCCCTGCAGGGAGTGGCCTGGGAGCGGCTGATGATGGACTTGGCTTGGCCCTCAGAGTCCCTGCCTGAGGCACGGACAGGGCAGGGTCTGCCAGTGCCCAGGTAAGGCCCAGTGCTTCTGGCTTCTATTATTTATTTTTATCTTTTCCAGTATTGGGAATCAAACTCATGACCTTATGCTTGCCAGGCAGGCGCTGTGCCACTGAGCTAAATCCCCAGCCCCGCTCCTGGCTTCTAGGTTAATGCAAGTCCTGCATCCAGGGCAGTGCTCAGGTCTGGGTCCAGACCAGCCCCACCTAGGAGACAGGAGGCCTGCCGGGTAGTGAGGGTCCAGGCTCAGGACCCAGGAACAGGACTCTGGTGAGTGTGTGATGGCCTCCCCATCCCCACGACAGGAACAGCCCCTCTGCCGAGAGCATGCTGCCGCCACCGCGGGGCCCAGCACTCCTCACCGAGCTCTGTGGCCAGCACAGTGAGGTTGTGCCAGACACGAGCCTCACGGTCCAGGGGCGCTGCTGTTCTGATGGTGCCATCTTCGGGCTCGATGGAGAAGCAACGCTCTGGATCCGAGTGGGGGAGGATGGAGTATCTGGGGAAGATGGGCTGGGCTGGGGCCGGGCTGGGGTTGTCACCCCTGCCTCTCTCCGACCCTCCTATTCATCTTGCTGGGCCTCACGGCTCATGTGGGCAGAGGGTTCAAGCTCCAGAGCCATAGTTCAGGTTGGCGTCCTCTTGAAAGGTAACGGGGACTCCCTGGGAGGTCTCAGGGGTTGGGTTTCATGGGAGTCAGGACAGAGATTGAGGAAGAGGTGAACAGGGAGAAATACTACCTGTCTTTCAGACTTTCGGCTCTGTTATGAAGACCCACTGATCTGTGTTTCACCCTGCCCTGGCTCAGACTGGCTGTGTGACCTTAGGCCAACTGTTTGACCTCTTTTTACTCAATTCAAAAGAGAAATACACCAGCACCTCCCTTGCAGAGGAGGGACAGGGCAGTGCCTGCGAGGGGAAGAGTGGCTGTCCTCAAGGCAGAAAGTCCAGATTCAACCCCAGCTCTGCTACTCACTGTGGGCAAATTACTTAACGCTCGCAGTTGGCCTTTAAAACAACTGGCACGGGTAACACCCACTGCACAGGGGCGTGGGGAGGACGGAACGCTACCCAGTGGGTAACCGCGAAGCACTCTGGGCGTGATCAGGAGAGATCTACTGAGCAAGTGAGGTGACATCTGCTTCCAGTGCCGCTGGGAGGTGCCATGAACGGAGACTTTGCTGGAAGGTGCGATTTGCAGCAAGGGAAGGGAAGTGCCCTTGTGTGGGAACAGCTCGCCTCTGGGCTCCTTCCTGGAGGCCCGGACCCTCCCCAGCCTGCCTCCCCTCTTACCTGATGGGGCTGGCTGGGGAGTCCAGGTCCATGGCCGAGATCCGGCCCACCAGGGTCCCAGGAGCCTTATTCTCCAGCACTGCCAGCTGGTAGGCGGCCTGGGTGAAGGTGGGTGGCTCCGGGGCATCCTGCACGGCCACTCGTACTGAGGCCACGTCCTTGAAGGGCCCTCGACGCAGGTAGGCTGGGTCAATGAGTGTGTTGGTGGCCTCCACACGGAAGGAGTAGGAGTGGCGGGTCTCGAAGTCTAAGGGCTGTGGTCAGGGGAGATGGCGAGTGAGTGAGGCAGGTGGAGACCAGGCCAGGCCCAGCCCACAGGTGAGGCTCTTCCCTCTGTGCACCCAGCGCAAAGCACAGGCGGCACTGGAGTGGCTGTGGTCTCCGGGCTTATGGTAGGCAGCACGTTACACAGTCTAACGTGAGGGCCCATCCGCAGGGTCCAGCACAGGGGTCCCCAGTGTGTTCTAGAGGGACCAGTTAGAAATGTCCCCACCTGGTGGGGCAGGAGGAAGATAGAAGTCAATCTGCAGGTGAATTTTTTTGTTGTTTTATTTTTATTGCGAGCTGGGGATTGAACCCAGGCCTTATGCACACTAGGCTGACACTCTACCACTGAGCGTAACTCCCCACCTCCATCTGCAAGTGGTAACAGGCAGGAGGCTGACCTTACGGACAGTGAGGAGCCCATCTCGGCCCTGGGAGTCGGTGCTGATGCTGAAGGCCTCCGACCCTTCCCCGTCCAGGATGCTGTACGCCATGAGGGCGTTGTCTCCCAGGTCTGGGTCCTGGGCCTGCAGCCGGCCCACCACAGTGCCAGGCTCAGCCGTCTCCACCACAGAAAACTGGTACAGGCCTTGGAGGGGCATGGAAGGGAACACGCCTTTAGAGAGGCCCTCAGGCCTCCTCCCCACCCCAGCACTTCCTTCTCCCGGGATCTGCTGGGCCAGGGGTGGGGGTCCGTGGTCAAAGGATAGCTCAGGCGCAGCTCGGCCCCCTTACTCTGAGGGAACTTGGGGGGGTTGTCGTTGACATCGCTGAGGGTTACGGTCACGGTCGTGCTGCCCGACAGCCCCCCCATGTGGCCGCCCATGTCCTTGGCCTGGATCACCACTAAGAACTCCTCCTGCGTCTCCCGGTCCATGTTGGGGATGGCGGTTCGCACCACTCCTAGGCAGAGGCACTGAGTCAGAGAGCGGCCCCCAGGCCGCCCCAGCAGGCTCCCGAGCTCCATCCTCACCGGTCTGGGGGTCCACAGAGAAGAAGGGCAGTCCGTCCAGCACAGTGTACACCAGCTTGGCACTGTTTCCATAGCTGGGGTCATCAGCGTCATGAGCAGTCACCTGGATCACTGATGTCCCTGTGGGGGGTCCCAGCACCTCACTCAGCAGCGGCAGGGGGAGAAGCGGGAGAACAGCAGATGAGGGAGACCCAGATGTGAGGGAAGCTGGATTAAAGGAGGTGGATTCTGGGGCGGATGGTGAAAGGGGGAGGTGAAGGAACTCCAGGAGGCAGAACTGGGCATTCAGAGCTGGGGTGCTCACCCACGTTGGACATCTCAGGCACTGTGGCATGGTAGGGCCCCAGGGGGAACACAGGCGGGTTGTCGTTGATGTCTTGCACTTTGATGATGAACTCTGAGGGTGGCTCCAGGGGCCTGTTGGAGGCACGGTCCACGGCCTGGGCGAGCAGCACATACTGTGCCTTTTCTTCCCGGTCCAGGCTCTTGGTGACATGGATATTGCCTGTAGCCTCGTCGATCACAAACACAGTGCCTGCTCCCTCCCCGGTCAGCAGGTATTTGGTGCGGCCCTCGCCCCGGTCCACATCTGAGTGCAGCTGTAGGAGTCAGGGAAGAATGGCAGGGCACTCCAAGCACAGGGACAGAGGGTTAGAGAGGCTGGGGTGGGCAGTGTTGAGAGTCCGGAGGGACCAAGGTCACCAGAGAAGTGAAGCAGCTGCAGGGCAGGGCTTAGGGCCTGACGGAGTAGTTGGAGTAGACACGGAGAGGCTGATCTTACCTTGCCAATAAGGACGGGCTCTGGGCCGGCATATTCCTCAATGACGAAGAACTGATTCCAGACCCAGCTCCTTCTGGTCCGAAGCAGTGCAGGCCCTGGGCGCCCCCGGGACCCTGCCCAGGCCCGGACTGGAGCTGCCAGACGCCCCATGCAGCCCCAGCCACCCAGCCAAGCCAGCAGGAGCCTCACCAGGCCCCACATATTTGGACTCCAGCCAGGGTTCTGCTCACTGGCCTCGGGTGCTGAGGCTGGGCAGGGCCGGGTGGCCCATGAGCTGGCTGGGGCGGAGGGCAGACGCGCTGGGGCTACCCCATGGATCCACACCTGTAGAACAGGTAGCTGCTTAGGGCCAAGGAAACCCTCGATCCAATCCTCCCCAAGATCAGACGCTGAAGACCAGATCTCAAGGAACTACATACCCACCGCCCAGAGACAGACTAAGGCAGAGCAGACCGTCTGGTCCCTCCCTCCCCTAGGCTCGCCTTGTCTTCACCTCCAGCCCTCTAGATGGATAAATCTCTGGCCTGTCAACTCTGAGAGGCGGTGGTGCAGGACAGGAAAGGGGGAGCTGGACGGCTTGGAACCCCAATCCCTGCCCTCCCACCTTGGCATCCAGCCAGGGCACCAGAGTGGGGGTCACCAGAGAAAAGGCTTAAAATGAAGGGGCTGGGTCCATAGAAGTGTGGCATCCAGGGGTCTAGGGTCAGGCCGAGGGGGTAAGGAGAACAGCCCAGGGCAGGCTGCGAAGAGCAGAGCAAGGTCCCTGCCCTACGGGGCACCTCGCCTCTCCAGACCCTGCCCCCAGCCCACCGCCAGCTGCAGTCCTTGAAGGTGGATTGGTCTCCTGAGGCAGAGTGGGGGCCAGCGCTGGAAAGAGAGGGCACACGGCTGCGGGCAGAGTGAGGAGGCAGTGAGGAGCGGGGCACACCCAGGGGCCAGAGATGCTGTGGCTGAGGGCTGCACCGAGACAGAGGACCAGGTGAGAGACAGAGACGGCGCGGCAAGGAGGGACAGCTGGCAGTGAGAGGGCACAGCTCAGGGAGGCAGCCTGGCGTCTGAAAGGCGGAGGATAAGGGGTGCCAGGCTCGGAAGTGGAGGGGCACGGAGGGCTTTCAGCATGTGTGCGTATGGGGTCGCATCAGGCCTCCGAACTTCATTCTGGGAGAGGAGGCAGCCAGGAGCCGCGGAGGCGGGGAGGGGCTGCCGGCGGGGAGCTGGAGGGGACCCTTGCCGTCTCCTCCCTGCCTCCTGCACGACCCCGCAGGTAGCTGTCGCTTCGCCCCTCCTCCCCTGGAGAAGACGCACACCTGACAGCCCGTTTGCTCCCGGGGGAGGAGAAGCTGGAGGGAAGCTGGAGACCGGAGAGGGAGGCGGGACGAAGAGGGAAGGAAGGGGACAGAGTGGGGAACAGGACAGCGGGAAGGATGAGGAGAGGGGAAGCGGGAGCAGGAAAGGGGAAAAGGGGAAGGGAAGGAAGGGAGAGGACGGAAAAGGCAAAGAGCGAGATGCGACGGGAGAGACAGGAGCAGAGGGAGCGGGAAGGGGGAGAGACCGCAACCCGCTAGGGGGAAGGACGGGAAGAGACGCTGAGAGGAGGGAGCGAGGTGCGAGCAGGGGACGGCGGCAGAGCGCGGGAGCAGGCAGCCGGCGGCGGGCTCGCAGCCACGGAGCGCACGGCTCGGAAGGCACCGCAGGCTGCGGCCCCGGC